TTAATGTGCTCGAGTTTAATAAGTATTAATGTTATCTTTAAAACATTCAATATCTTGATTATTAACGTAAAAATAATGAGAATGAATCATCATTGATATAAAAAGAATTAATAAAATTTCGAAGATAAAAACCCGAAGGATATATTGTACCTATATTATACCTATTTAATAGCAAATAAAAGTATTGACACTATTTACCAGTTGAAATTTTAATTTATTTTTTAGCTTTTAAACTCAACGTGTTAGTTTATATTTGAATTAACTTATATTTACATAATTAGTTAAAAATTAATTATAGCAACTTGGCATTTTTCATTAGTTTAAATAATAATATGTTGAGTCAAAATTATGTTTTTACACATAACATACCTTTTATCCGTGGTCGTTAGTAGGAGGTTAAAATTAGAGTTAAAATATATTGGTGAATGGTGGAGACAAAAGCGTCAAAATAAAATAAGAAAAAAAGTCATATTGTACGAAAGCACCAAAATCCTATAGGTACCTGTATACCATGGTTAATAAATAGATAGATATTAAACAGTAGATAAATAATAGATATTAAATTTAAAACTTTATCGATGAAAAACTCCAAACGTTTAATCTTAATCAAAATTCTGGATAATGAATGCATTGCAATGACTACAAATGCAGCAGAATCATATCATTGAGCGCTCAAGAATTGGGCCACTATAAACCTTTTTTCAAAAAAGTATATGGTAATTGGGCTACTTCTGTTATACATTTATAATAGGTAAACTCGGTGATTGGGCCACTATTTTAAATATTTTTTATTATTGTATCTGGTAATAGGCCTAATAGGGCCAACATTCAATTTTAATAAAATAATATTTAATATAATTTTCGGTCGAGCTTAGAACAATTAATGCCCCAATATTTGGACATTGCTCCTATTTTTTTTTTTTTTAACACATCTTAATTGTAAATTAAAAACTTTATCTGTGTATAATAGAATCAAATTGTATACAGACACAACATTAATGTGATAATTTCTAGACATATATTTTTGAAGTTAAAAATAAAATGATATAAATACAATTATATATAAAAAGAAGAAAACACAATACAAAAAAAAATTTTTAAAAACTCAGTTTAATGAACAAAATATTATTTATACATAATGTTATATAAACTTAATTATATAATAATTTTAATTAAAGGATTATAAATGAACTCAGCTCCTATTTCCCATACTTTTGAATTCGTCAATCACCATGTCAATATTAATACAAGATGTTAGTTTTGGTTCAATAAACATTAATAATAAACTATTAAGTCGATCTTATTGTATAGTACTCCTTAAGTTATTATTTTTTTATTGTTAATTTAAAAAATATCCGTTTGCAGGAACAACTCATAACTAGTATTACACTGAATAATTTCAGTACAGTGAAAAATCTAGTAAATGATTTTATGTAATTATTTGCTTTCATATAATCTAGCCACGAGTATATTGATTCATTATTAATATTAGTATATAGTTGAAATTGTATTATGCCCCTATAATATATTATTTCAAAGATTTAAAATGTATAAAAGAAAAAGGAAAAGAAAACAGTGTGCAGTTTTATTATATTCGTTGTTATTATTATTATATTGTACTGCGCCGTTGTCATTATAGTAATAGCGTCTTTAATGTTTATGAAAATATGTAAAATCATTTTGATTTGATTTTTTTACGTTGCAGTATTTAATACAAAACGTATTGTTTCATTACACTATAAACTATATACGCAACATTATTGTTGTAGAACAGTATAACACGCCATACATACATTTCACTAATACACTATATACAGTACCTATGTATATACTCAAATGTAGTATATTGTTTTGTTATTTTCGAACGGCGGTTCAACACAATGGCATCTTTTCTCGGTACAACAATAATAATATTTGTATTGTATACGGTTAAATAAAAAACAAAATATTTAATTTTCTGCCCACGCCATACATAAAATGTACACATGTATATATTTACAAATATATCCATTGGTCGGTTATACATATTATCATTATTATTATTATTATTATAAACGTATATACTGCTCCCTTTTTGTTTTTATTTTTCCCTCTTTACTACTGCTAGCTTTACAACCCCCTCCGCAGCCTCTTTTACAGTTTTGCGTATTTCCCCGCTGGCCGCTCTATAGTAATAATCGCACACACCACTGACTATTATGTTATCTCTTGTCTGTATATATATTATGGCATTATGGGTATTCATCGACGTTCGTTCCTATGGAATATCTCTCTCGTACTCCGCTCCAACTTTTTTCGATGTACCTATTCACATTATTTTCATTAGTCGTTATCTTTTAGCCTCTCTCTTCTGTGCGCGCGCATTTAAAACTTTTCGTTTCGAATAGCTTTTGGGTTTGTTTTTTTAATTCTGTTTTCCAATCGGATAAAAAATTTTTCTTGTAACCTCGTCATCGCCCTATTAAGCATGATACCTGACGTACCTATAAATTCATAACTTTTTTATATAATTGGTGCTATACTGCAGACATTTTATTTGCTCATCGCGTGAATGAAATTGTACAGAGTTTTTCATCAACAGAGTTCACCTCCGTGTTTTCTTTCGCAGTAATGAATTTATTCAAATTCTGAGTTTTTAATTTTTTTATATACCTACTTCTGTAGATTATGTATTTTATTTATATGTATTTTCTTTCTATGTATTTTAACATTCTTGAGATACTGTATACCACTGGATAAAATTAATGTCTTGCTATTATTACTATAAAATTTTTACGTAGTGAGATATAAATAAGTATCTGGCACCTCATCAATACTTATGTACCCAGTTTGTATTACTTCACTAGTTTATCCATGCAAAATTCAAATAAATTTACCTGAACCGACTTACAATATTCCACCGAATTAATAAGTAAATAAAAAACTCGTTAAAGTTTACATTTGTATATGTAAGATTGGGTGTCAAATCATCGTTTTTGTATACGGAGTATATACCTGAACATAATTTTGAAACTCCAAATAACCTGTGAATGCTATAAATTTAAAATCATTTATATTTATTGTTGTTCCTATACTTGTTGATTTTAAAGCTTATTAAAAACCACAGTGAAACTTTGTAATCAACATTACCTATGTTGTGTTATATTGAGAGTTTTTTTTTTTTTTACGACATGTATAATTAATAATTATAAAAAGTAATTCAACAAGCAGGCTTATCTACATGGTTTCCTTTAATAACTTATTTATTTAATGATTTCTGAGTTTTGAAGTATACTTACTTAAGAACTATATTTTCAAATAGGCACTTAAATTGTTTATACTAATTAAAGAGTATCTTGTAACGATACTAATAATTTCCGTTTTTCTAATAAAAACCACTCTTTCTTCTGTAATTTTTTAAGCAGATAATTTTTATTTTTCAACCATATTATGTACTATTGGCGATAGATTCAAAATAATAATACATTTGTAATATTTTAGGTCGCATGGTGATATGGAATTTTTAATAATTAACATGACGTATTTTATATTAACATTTTATAATTTGAAAAAATTGTCTGGTTATCATAATATATTTTATTAATTTTTATATAACAATTTTTAAGAACTACGAAAGACTTATATATAGTATATTGTATGTAGATAGAAATTAATAAATCAAAAATTAATTGTTTGAGTTTTTATTTAGATATCTTTATTAAGATAAAAAAAAAAAAATTACTTGTTTCAAAATTTAAGTAAGAAGGTTGGTTATCATTTATCATTTTAAAAAAATAAATAAGTTTTCTATTGCCGCATAATGCACTTAAAAATTTCAAAAATCTAAATTGGAAAAAATAAATTACCAGAGAAAAAAATGGAAGTGAGCCACCCCTAACCGTAGTTATTAATATAAATACTTTATACAACGAAAATAAAGGTGAAACTTCCAAAAAAACAAAATCGTGTTGTTGATATTTTACAAAAATTTTTTTTGTATGTACTATGTAACGACAAATAATAAACTTTTTGCTCTTTATAAAATCCCAAGACACTCTTGCGAGTTGCACTCGTCAATTTTGACAATCATATAAATATATATATTTTTATATAGCACGTCGCACATGTACCTTCACCTTCATCCCGGTTAAAACCCAGTCGCAATGTCTAATAATATCTTTATGTCCTAAATACTTTGATATTTGAAGCTCTCTTATGAGTATCAATAATAAAAACAATAATTACAAATAAAATCGATGAGATCGCTCACAACTATTTTTTATTTGTCTCTATCTCTAGCAGCCATATAAAATTTGTATAAAAATATTTACTTACAAAAATAAACGGCTTCTACAAAAAGCTCATTGTGCTGTATTCCGGGAAGATTTAGCCATCCATATAGGATGCATGCTGCTAAGTAGATAATTATCATGAAGGTAAATATAGGTATATAAACAAAATCCATAGGTTTTACAATATTTATTTATGATTCTCATTTATTGATAATATGTTTTTTACAAAATTTTCGTAAACAATCGCAAGATCATGTCGCGATACAAATATTATAGATTGTATAATGTACAAGTAAAAAAAAAGAAAAGAAAAATTCGATCACTTTATTAGCTACTATAGAATCTATTTATCGTAAAAATAACATATTATTATTAGAGATATGCGAGACTCTAATAATTTTACACAGTAAGACTAATACGAGAAATTAAAACAAAGTATAAAAAAAAAAAACTGTATTAGAATCAAAATTAAAATCTGACGACTAAATCTCTCTCTACTAGTTTATGTATATATATATGTATATATATGTATATATATAATTTTTATTTATATTCATATAGATTCATATTTTGTTCTGTATATTATTAATGCGGTTATAATATAAGTTTATAATGATCAATTTATTTATACAATATCAATAATTATTACTTAATTATTTAATATCTTACAATATAATATAATATATATGTATAATATGTACGGACATATATTGGTACAAACATCAATTAAAAATCTTTCGCGTTTATTAAAATAAAAATTAAATCACGCAGAACATTCGTCGTAATGTACATAATTTAAAGCTTGTCAGCAGTAAACTTCGTCCGTTTACTGTAATCTCGACCAGTATGTGTGTTCCGGCGCTTGGCTCAATGGTATTTGAACCGGTACCGATACTCCTGCAGATATTACGCCTGAAAACACGCAATTATCAACATTAAAAAAAAAAACTCATGATAAAAAATATGTAGGTATTGACAAATTCAAAATAAATTTTAGTAGAACTCCTCGATTCCTAAAAGTAAGTACGCACACATTTCTGGTAATTTTAAGCGTCTGTAACATAATTTTAATAGGTAGGTACTTACCTATTACCTATATACGTATAGTATTAATCTGGTGACTTTGTTAAAGCGTACAGATTGGCTTATTATGCGTATATTATTGTACAATATTAGACTACGTCTAATTTTTATGCGTTGGTAATTTAAGTAATTCGATTAGGTTACTCGCATGGATTCATAGAATTTTATTGGAGGTTTTTACAGTCAACACAACCGTAGTTCGTGACATTATATTATTATTATGTGCTACGTAGACTACTTTTTGTTATTGACAGGAAAACACTACATCTTTCATCTTTGACATAATTCATCGCAGTCTATATATTAATGAAACGTTATATTTGTATGTTTATATGCGTCTAAGAGATCACAGCCAAGTCCATCGCATTCGTGGTCATGAAATTTGGTACTAAGTAATTCTATACCCTATAGTCTATAGGTACCTGAAGATATACACTTCGAAGCTCAAACACACAAATTTGTTGGCACACGAAAAACGTATATTTTTTATTCGTTTTGCGATACTATTGGCTACGGAAAATAAAACATTTATATCTGGATATAATTTTAGACCTGTTTTGTATAATTGATCAAAACTATCTAACTTAACGTGTTAAAAACATATGTAGTTTATTTCATTTGTCATGGGGAAACACCACACAGCATGTATTATGAAAAATTGGGTTGAACACTACGTCGTTGTCGTGTTTTTCCCACCCGCGATAACTAATAATAATAACAATTAAAATAATTAAAATAGTAATAAATTTTTACCTGTGCCCGTAGCGCCCGGTGACGTGTTGGACGCGTGATGCGTAGAAGTGGGATACGCTGCCGGATGTGTGTTTGCGTTGACTGAGTGCGCGGGAGCGGGCTGGCAAGGGACACGCGGTGACGACGACACTGGATGGTTGTACAGCGAGTCCGGTGGCGGATGATGGAACATGTACGGATACGAGCTTGCCGGATGATGGTGGTGATGGTGATGATGGCCGCCGGATACCATGCTCGACATGGAACTGAAAATTAGAACATCGAATGACCTGTGAGAACCATCGTAAGTGCATCGTCGAGTTATGAGGCCCGTAAAATGCGATATGCAGGCGAAATACATTACATAACGTGACGTACGTCCGAAGACGTGTCGATCTTTTTATTCGGACACCCTCTTAAAAACCCGCCGATAATCGTTCGTAATATATAATTAAGTTAGATTAAGACGCGTATGTAATGTGTATATACCCACACAGCATTGAAAGTTATATTTAATCGTGTTCGATTTTAAACGGGGATCAGGAAAAAAGTGATAATCGACGGATTTTGGCAAACAATCCGAGTCATAAATCGGTGGATTCAAAAGAAAATAAAATTGATGTTTTTTGTTTTCTCCAGAAACATTTGAATCGCGTGATTTCAATGTATATTGAATGATGGATCACGTTAACTCGGTAGAGGTATGCACTATGCACTCATGTACACTACTTAGTACTTAAAAGTAAAGACAATATAGTAATAGAGATGAGTGTAGTCAGTTTGCACCAAATTGATCCTAAATATTTACAAAATGTGTAATTTGCACCAAAACTTTTAAGCTACGTCTGTAATTTGCACCAAATTAAAGATATTTAATTTACACCATCTCATGTAGCAATAAATAGGAAATTTAATTTTCATCAGTCAAAATCGATTAATATTAGACAGGTACAATATCGAAAGAATAATCGTACAATTTTCGATAGTTGAATATAATATATTAAAAAAAAATAAAAATATAAAAATAATAAAACAAACTAATGTTGCATTGATTGTTAGATAATTAGATTGTAATTTATGTTTTGATACTTACAGGTTTTTTGCATTTGTATGTAACTTATACAATGAATGGAGTTTTTGATATCAATTTATTATTATAATGGTCCAAACAACTCGAATTTGATTTGTTTATTCACTTGTTTAAGAAGTCGTTCGGTTAAGTTTATACAAACTCGATAGTTTTATGTATGTATCTGTTTGAAAATCGGTTAGAACTTTAATGAAGTAAAACATTTTCTCAAATATCGAAACTTGTACGATTATTCTTTCAATAGTAACCTATCTTATAATAATGGATTTTTATTTTGGTACAAATTACATTTTCTACTTTTTATTATATAAGGTGGTGTAAATTATATACCCTTATTTTGGTACAAATTACAAACATTATTTTCAGCTACCTGTAGTGGTGCAAATTACGAACTCCCATAGAGACTTACCCATAATTATCGGTGGGCATGGTGGCAATTGGTTGTGATATGGACTGGTACATATGGTTGAAACCGGCCGCTTGAATCGACGCCAATCGGTTGTTGTGGCCACCGCCACCTCCGCCACCGCCGCCTCCACCAACTGTGTTTGACGTGGCACCGGCTGGCGGACTTACGGATGCAGATGATGAAGAAAGAGCAGCCGGCGTTCCGTTCTGCTGGTCAAGAACTCCACCACTACCTCCACCACCTCCACCCCTGCGCTGGTTTCTCAATTTTTCTTCTCGCCGCCATTTTGCTCGACGATTGCTAAACCATACCTGCATGAAAAAAGCAATCAAAGATTTTAGTTTATATTCGGATGTGTATTTGATATAGGTACTATAGCAAAATGTTGCAAGTCATCTACTAAGCACATTTTATTTTATATCAACGTAGTGTGATGTTTAAACGTTTAATATAATATAGTTTTTAGCAACGACGTAATAACACATTTTGTGACTGTTCCTCCCCATTTCGTGTATGCCGCTCATTTTGAGTGACTTCTATACACGATTGTATTTAGCTATTTATAGGGTTGAATCGATTCCAAAAAAATAAATGATACGATATGATGTTATGAGTTTCATTAGGTTAATAGTCGACGCGATAAACCATTGCAGCATCACATATATATAACATCTGTAATGTGATATAAGTGCAGTATACGCATCTTGGACAGCGTATATGCGTTATTCTTTCTGTATTTATTTTTTCGAATGATATACGTCTGTCGTGTTTACATATGTTTTGGGTTCTTTTTACTGTGAGTGGGGATCGGACCGTTTATGTTTCCATTAGGATTTATTACAAATGTATGTATAGCGCGCATGTATTTATCGACGGATTCTGTTTCGACTGTGGCGACCATTCACGGAACGCACCGGTCCGTGAAAACTACAACCAGCATATGATTATAGAGGCGGTGGTGGGTTTCACGTGTATGTTTCTAATTTAGCTAATGATCGGTTGCCCTACATAATATTCAATTCCGCTAATGTTGCGGACGAACACCCCTTATAATGTATAATGTATAATATCGTTTGCGCCAGCTAGTATACCACCCATAGATATACAAAAATATAGAAGGCACCGTGTATCATTTATACAAATATAATAGATACGATTATGTAATATCACGAGATGGGGTCGTCGATGACGATTTTTTTTTTTACTCGTGTTTTCCCGCAGCGAGATTATAATAATATTGTCGTTGGTCATAAACACTAGTATTTAATATTTATGTACATTTATAAAATTATAAACAACACGATAGGTGGTAAATTGATGCTATGTGTATGTAGTTGTGTATATAAATATGTAGGTAAAGTATGCTCGTCGCAATGACTGAAACATTAATGATATTATTAGTTTTGGTACGTTGAAATTCAAAATTAATGTTTTTCTTGTTCCTTGAAGTTGTATATGTCTTGGTTGAGGTACACAAATCGACAAATATTTTTAAATAAATTAAATATATTTTTATCTTGCATGAAAGTTGAAATTCAAGTTATTGTGACTTGAGTCTTTACTGTAATATAATATATTTAAATGTGCACGAGAACCCTATATGGTCTATATGAAACTGAATTTTTACGTTACGTATTGATAGGTATATAACTGTATGTGCGTGTGCGCATTTACTAAAAGCCGCTTATATTATGTTCTCTTGTCGAAAGTTTGATGAGTTCCCAGTATAATGGATATTTAATTTTGAAGTTAATATGTACATTAAACTATTCCGGATCTGATTAAGTATTACGGAACGCGTTGCGTCCGATGATTTATGTTTATAAGCATTATATATACATACTCGTGAGTGCGCTTTGAATCTATGATATCTACTACTATAATAATATAATATACACTTTTAAATATGCTTATAATTACTTAAAACGATATACAATCCACGAGGCAAACGTTGGTATCCTATACAGTTTTAATAACTATTAACTGTATAATATAAACGCAGTGTTATAAATAGAATTATCGGATGTAATATTAATAACAAAATAATACGAACATTCCTCAATCAATATTAATTATGAAAATATTAAAATAACGAGTGTTGCGGTGCTATAACGAGCAAGCACAAATATTATTGAATAGATAGGTATAATAGTATAATAGATACATTACGGTCTTTGGAGACTTTGGAGTTGGGGAGAGGAAAACTTGCCATGGATCATTTTTACACGACAAACGTAACTATTATTTCATCGTATCGTCAATTTATTTATTTTTCTCCGTCGTTTGTATTATTATTAATGTTACCTACCTATACCGAAAACGTTCAACAGGCTCGTTGCGCACGACGGGCGTTGAATTTATCGTTGGCGCGAGGGAAGTTAAAAACCGGCGGTCCCTTTGTGCTCGTTAAATTTATGTCCACCCCCCTAGTACACACACATATATGCACACAAGCGCACATGCACATATGGGTTTTTATTATCGTTGGGAGGGCGGTCCGCGATTAATCAGTCTACTCTTTTTTTTCTTTCTTTTTTTTCTCCCCCCGATGTCCGGCAGCGAAGAGGACAATTTCCTAACTGGTGGCGATCATGGGATTGCTGTAACATACGTGTATATGGTAGGTATATTATAGATATAGTGTACATGTAATAAGTATATATACATATATATATATTATATTACTGTGGTGACGAAGGGGAAGAGTGCACGTTCTCAGTAATTGAACTGTCCCCAATTACTCTGCACAAACAGATTAATTTTACTGTATATATATAAACGTACGTATATAAATATATTAATAATATATTTTATTGTATATATGAGTATAATATACCCGTTGCTAATAAAATCAAACTGGCCTTTATATATGTCGGCCCTTGTATCGTAACTTAATTGTCGGAGTGAATGTATGTGCGCATGCATGGTAGATTGGTAAAAGGGGGGATGATTTTTAGAAGATGTTTTCCGTGTTCATTATCGTATTAAAATGAAATTACGTGGCGCAAATAGAAGAAACCGACCGTTGCTATATAATATTGCATTAATATTTTGATATTATGTTTACAGAGATAATATAATATGTTAAAATAGTTTCTGCAATTTTATTTTTATCCGATGATTTGATCCGATTTTATTTTAAGACGTCTGTCTTGTTACACACATGTCGATCTCCCCAGAAAAGGAGAAAAAAGGCTGTTTTTATTTTATATAAAGGGATGAAAATTCATCTCACACCTACGCTACGCCATCATAGGAATGCCAGTTATTCGCTTATAATATAATATACGCGGTGTACAGGCGACTGGCGGCAGCCAACCGCAAGAGCACATACCCGTACACACGGACAAACACAATACCCTGGTGTGGGGAAGTTGCCCCCTTTTCAAAATCAATACCTCGCACCCTATCGCCCATGGTTTTCATTGTCGCTGGCATGGAAATTCCACCACGAATAATATTTTCACTAACTCGTTCCCCGTCATCGCGAATCATGTAACAGTTGTATTACACACAAAATATAGTCAATGCGCCTCGACTACCGAATAATTAAATTGTTTGTTTTAAAGTCTGAAGTATAATATAAAATGTTATAGGCGTACTTATATTAGCAAGTTTATATTATATAGTAAAGTTTATGTTTGTCTAAATAATAGTATAGTAGGACATTGCAGTAAATACGTAATATATTATAAACGTGCGATTATTATTACCTGAATTCTGGCTTCCGGAAGAGATATGTTATCCGCCAGCCTTTCTCTGGCAAACACGTCCGGATAATGCGTTCTTTCAAATTCTGAAAACAAAATAAAATTGATTAAATTTAGATATGCATAGCAAAGTTACATTAGATGAGCTATATTTATAACTTGACCAAAAACTGAAAAAGTTACAATTATGTACTAGATAGGTACTTATGATTTATGAACCATAAGTATACTTCGGTTGGAACTTTAAATTTAGAATTATGGGATGTACGCCGAGGTGCGTATACTAATTCAGAGTTCGTATAAATCACCTGTATCTTTTGATAGGATTTTATATATATATATATATTTTTTATGATATTAATTAAACTAAGCATTACCAAACTACCAATATAATATTTATACGTAAATATAAAATTAAAATCAATTATTTAAAAAATGAATGTACCTATTCTAAAATAATATAAATAGAGATAATAGAGTGGATATTTCAATAAGCTTTAAATATTTCATACAATAAAATTGAAGTATTGGTAAATAGATATTTATTATTTTAGTATTAATAGAACAAGTGTATATTATACGGTAATTACATAAATACCTGAAAAAATTAATTTGCAAAATTTAACTTAGAGGTATGTTAAAAAAGATTAGAGAATTTAAATAATTAAAAAGATTTTATAATGAAACTGGAAATCGAAAATCCAGCCAGATAATTCTATTAATGCGACAATAATAAATTTAACAAAGCCTACATACATTATTAAATTACTATATTTTTATTTATTGTACTAAACTAAATACCTCAAATAAAAATGTTATGTTACTGAAAATAATATAGTGGTTATATTATACGATAAATTATTTTTATATTTATTGTCACCCAAATTCTTCAAGTTATATGTTACTATCGATAGGTAGTGTTTATCCTATAAACTATTTACTAAAATCAGTTTGTGCCTTATGATATTTATTAAAGTTAGACTCATACTATATATTAATTTAATTTTTGACACACATAAATGAAATTGCTATTACCTACTAGAGTTGTTTTAGCCTTATTATTTAATATTCGAAATTAAGTTTATTGGTAATGTGAATTCTACAGATTTAAATGAATAGGACAACGAAAAAGTGTTAACACTGTTAGTTTGGTTGACTAATATTAGTTGAGAAATAATGAAAAGAGCTTACGAATAATTAACAGTAGCAATCAAATTGACTGTAATTGATAAGAACAACATTAATTTAATAGTCTATTTACATATTATAGATCGACGTTGGGTTAATTAATATTATAAAAGACTAGAAAATAAAATATCAGAAGAATATATTTTATGTTTAATGAATATAATAATACTATCGATAGGCAGATATATTATTGTGGTAAATGTATATTTATATCGAGGATATATATCGCTAACGTCAATGAAAATATTAAACTTTTTAAATGAAAATTCAAAATGTAGACACCAGAGCTTTAATATTATAGATAGTTTTATTGCCAGAAAAAAACAAAAATTATTTGGTCGTTTAGAAATTGCCATGGATTCCGAAAAACGAAACTTTCCATCTTTTTAAATTCAAATTTCAGATATATTCTGCTTTGCAAATTAAATGATATATATCTATGTGATGTACGATTTTTGTGTTTTATACGTATGTTGACCACCTATAACTAACCTTTTTCTAAGCTGTCTATTTGGTCGTTGGTGAAACTAGTCCTGTTTCTTTGCAGTTTCCTTTTCAGTCTAAGTCTTAGTTGCGAATCGTCGTCCGCCGACGAATTGTGCTCCGAGTTGCCATCGGATGTGCTCTCCGGTGCCAATTCAGCAGCTGAAACACGCCAATTCGAATTCAGCAAAATTCGTTTAAAACAACAAACGGGATGAATTGTGTTTCTAATAGAGTAGTTTTATCAATATTCTATATATAAATACATATTCAAATGTCACGAAAAATACTGTGTAAGACTTCGATCGTATTGGAAACTTAGTCGGATCTCTGTGTATTATATTAAATAGTGTTTTTAAACCGCCGAAGTAAGACGATTATATCTTATATAATATCAAGAAAACACTTATCCCGCCGTCCGTGCTATCTATGCTTTAATATTGTCTCCCAAACTGTAATACATAATAATATAACGCCTGTTATATTGTTATGATGTAATATTATCGTTTTGTGTGTACGCATTATAGTAATAATAAATGGTAGGCGCTTTTACACGGTTTTTATAGCCGTTTCGTTCCACTTTCGATTTTGATCGGGTCTCACGTGATCCGCCAGTGGAGGGTACATAATTATAATATATATATATATAAAGGTGAGGTATACACACGCAGGAGAGGGGCGAGCGAAGCGATCAATCGGTTGTGTATGTGTATGTGTGTTTAACAAGGGTGCGGGCACACGTGTAACCGCTTGGCTGCGCGTGCGCGAGTCGCGTGAAATAACCCTCACGGCGGCCTTGGTCGAAGGGACGGTGGAGGGCGGTCCGGCGTGGGCCTATCGGAACTCTCGAGGGGGCCGAAGACGGGTCGGTGGTCGGCGGTGGCGGTTGCGCGCCGGTCCGGAAGGACTGCCCACCCTCCCCTCCATTGTCGGTCGTCCCGTTGTGGCGAAGGCGATAGGGCGCCGCAGCTGCTGCAGTCGGCGGGTACATTGCACCGTTGCAGAAGAGGGATGAACGACGGTGGTGGTTTGGCGGGTATAGCCGGTGGCGGTGGTGCGGGCTCCCTCACCGTTCCCGGAAAATCGGCTGCCGGCGCGCGTAACCGGATTTCGATCGGTCTGTGACGAGGGTGGTCCGCCGCTGCCGTCGATCTCGCGAAAACAATAGAATCGGCCCGTGGCCAAACTTCATTTTTATTATTATTATTATTATTATTATACGTATTATTATGTATATGTCTATAACGCGACGCTTCCGCCCAGCAAACCTTTGTACGACGTACATCCCTACAAAGTGCGAAATCACCAGCAATGGACTTGCACGATAGGCTCTTACAACACTCCTTATAAAATTTTGTTTCAGAAGTCATAATCTTTGTATAGCGTTATTGTTGTTATTGGGATCTTAAGTGTACAAAAAATACCTAATGGGCCAGAAATAATTACAGGTACCGTAGTTGCGTCCATGGGCCACGATTATATAGACAAAATTTCAACTGAAGTCTGGATCATAGTTTTGAACCGTGATTAAAAAGGTTTTATTTTATATTTTGATAGACCTGTACGTATATCGTTCGAGAATTTTATACTGAAATTGTATTATCATCGGGCCGTTACTGTTTTTCGTATAGGCAACAAAACATACTAAACGACGCTATGAGTGCCATTATGTTGCATAATAATAAATTATTTGAAGAAAATACCATAAACCACGACATAAATATATTTTATGGGAAGAGAATAAGTCATAAACTTATAAATCATGATACTTTTATGATTATAAAATGAATTGTTTATTGAGATTAATTATTATTTAAGTCTTGCATTTTATTGATTTAAAAAATGTAAATATGAAAAATATGAAACTTTCATATTATTATGAAGGTAAATGATAAAATATAATTTAAAAAAAAAAAAAATATAGAATTTATCATTATTGTAGACCTCGAGGGTTATTATACTTTAAATTCGGTTTAAGTATAAAGTGTTATACTTTTGCTGCTAAATCACTTCATGGGGAAAAAATAGTAATTTTATATAAAGAAAGGGCCACGGTATAATATGTTTCAAAGGTTGATACGTCGGTGTGTGTTGTCCTTTTATGCGTTAAAAAAGTATGTTAAATGCAGCGTACATAATTGCGCATGGAATTGCTTTTAATAAGAAAAAGTATACGTAGATTAAATATACATATTAATGTAATGATGGAAACATCGAGAAAAAATATTTATAAGTTTTTGCTAACATTAATGAGATTTCACTGTATTTTAATGATTTTCCAATAAATGTCTTTCTTGACATTCAGGCGCTACAACAATATTTTTATAAGCAAATAGGTACAAGTCCAACAACAATAACAATTGATAATTTGTAATAGTTTTATTCTATAGTGATTTTGCATAGCTTGATTAGGTTTGGTTATAAATTAATCAATATTTGCTACAATTGCACGTTTTGTATCTAATAATTAAGTCTATAAATTATTTGAAAACAATTAACTATTGTGTTAATATAACAATAATAAAAAAAGAGAAAACTTTGTTTAAAGTTTTTTGACAATACACGTATAGTATACACACACAAACTTATAAAAAACGTTTATTCATTACGTAATTTCACTCGTTGAAACATAATTAAAATAAAAACTGTACCTATAATAAAAATTTAATATCATTGGTAGAGCCAGGGGATGGTACTTTGAAGGGATGAAAAAAAATAACTGATTAAAAATTCGTAAGCTCTAATAAACTCTATTATATAGAATGATATTTTTTTAATGTTGAATTTTAATCCTATTCTTATACTTCAGTCAGTATACTATAGGTATACTGTGTGATAAATATATTATAATATATATTTTAATTGTATAGCTAATATTTTGTAGGTACATAAATATTCAGAATACGAAAATCGTTAATACGAAATTACACAAATTGTGGCCCAGTAAAAGGTTAAGTTAATTGAAAAAGTAAGTCAATGTATTTTTAAATACGTTATTCACCTTATGGCTTATAGATACTCTGTAATATTTAACTAAAGATCAGATTAATACTTGCTTTAGATTTTATTTTGAAACATTTATTTTAAAAATACAAAATGTAAACCATAAACTAATGAAAAAAAAAAAAAAATCTGGCGTAATAGAATAAAGAAAAATTAAAATAAAATTGACCGATCTCGCCGGTAGTGCTCACCTCTCCTCTGGATATCATCTCTGGACACGGCAGTGAGTGACGCCGTGGTGGCTGTGGCTAGTGAGGCAGCCGCTGGGTTTCCCGGATGGTGGCCAACCGAGCCGACCAGTGCTGGGTGATGCGGTGACGGTGCACCGCCGTGTACGGGTGGCCCGCCAGTCGAAGGCGGTGGTGGAGGCGGCGGTGCTGCGTACCATGGCCAACCCGTTTGCCCGTTGAACATGCGAAGCTTGTCATACACAGACTCTGCCGCTCCGCCGCCACCGCTAATACCTCCACCGCCGCCCAGGCCATTTCCGCCGCCCGGCTGGTGCGTCGACGAGGCCTGGTGTTCCTTTTGTGCGGCCAAATTCCTCAGCACCCGATTGATGGACGATACCTGTAAAGCACACGCGCAATTAATAATATTACGATGACTTATAACTTGAGTTTCTCGTTACAGCCGACATATCGAGTATTATTTCGGGTGTATAAATCGTGTAGAATGTATGATAAATTTAATAATACGAAGGGGTGACTTGGAATTGGAAGGAATCAATAATCTCTATAAAACGCTTCATGTATCAAATTATTTAGTACCTGATAGGTTCGAATTTAACATTATTTTTTAATGTTTTGATTCGTATAATATGGTAATTAAATCTAACGAGATAATTAGGCTATTTTGTCCGTTGGGAATGTCACCATAACCTGTAGAAGAAGTAACGTTTGTATATGTTCTATAAAAAAGTAAATGTGACTTTATATTTTTCTTTTAAATTTTCTAAATCAGTTATACATAATATTATGTAAATCTTCTTACGATTATTAACTTATGATATGATATAATTTAACTGTATTACTGTTGGTGAACGCTGCAGGGATCGCGTGACCAATTTAAAACAGCTAGTACTGTTACTGAACGGGTTTTTAAAATTAATTTTCGTGGCAATATTCTGGGTTATTGTTATTATTATTATTATTATCGCCGTCATATAGAGCAATTAATATTAGTGTTACGTACAGTCGCGTATTATATATTCGACGCGCGTACGTTTTGATTATCGCGTGTAAACACGCGTGTTATTATATACATAGATTGTGCACACAGAAAAAAGAGAATCGGTCGACTGGAGAAATCGCTACAGCAGTGATGGTGGTGGAGAAGAAAAAAATTTATTTTAATCAGTCCACGTGTGTATTGTCCGTGCGCAAATCGGTGTGTTAATTTGGACAAATGCGACGGTGGTGGGACAGACTGAAGGGTGGTATCGACCGCTGCTGCTGTATAATGAAGTATTGGCTGGCCAAGTCATTGAGCAAACATAATAAAACAAACATTTTACGCTAAAGGAGAGCGTTTAGAAAAAATAAAAAGGAAAACGGGGCCAACGGGGTTGTTGCATACACATTGAAATATTTTCTAGTTATTATTATGTGCGGTAATTGCGAGCTTTTTTAAAAAGAAAAGAGGGATGGAGAATTTTTGTTTGTTTTTCAGCTTCACTGATAACTGGTGTTCTTTTATTTATCTAAATTATTATTATTTTTTTACTATTCCAATACTGCATATTACGCGTACTTCTAACACACCTCCACGCCAATACTGCACCCGAGTCGTGTATACCTCACTAACCTAGCATCGCGTGACTGCGTGAAGTCGATATTTTACTACATTACAATTTAATTTTGAATTTTTCTAAAAATCTAAAAATTGTACCCTCGTTACCATTTTTTATACAATGTAATTTTTAAATTCTGAAAATATAATATATGAATAACAGTTTTTTCTCGAAAAAAAAATTATACTGTAACAAAAAATAAACACGAAAATTACGTTTACACGTGGACATTTCTGCTTACAATATTACACTCAGTAAAAACTAAAAGATAATAAAATTATTGTATTATTATAACATCTTTCTCGGACGGGTCGACTCGACTACATAAGTAGATTAAAATGGCGGAATTCTCGACCTATCGTTGTGATGGCCTTCAGGTTCAACGAAAATTTTAATCTGGTTACGACACAACTGATGTAGTATGTGGCAGAATATGTGCAGGATACACTGCAAAATTCTGGTCGGAGAGACATGCTCGGAGGCGCTATGTACCCTCGGCCGAATGCTGAAGGGAGGGAAAAAAAGGAATTACTCATATATATATATATACATATATATATATACACACGAGGGAAGAGTGAAGGATAGTGAGTTTATATGTATGTATGACTATATGATACTGGTTTATCAATTATATATATATGTAGAGGGCTGCCCGAAAGACTAAAGGTTTTTGGACCGTGAAACGCGTCGTACTCGTTAAGTGTAATTGCGTTACGTAAACGGCTGCGTAAGTCTGCGCGCGAGCTTTCCTCTCCGCTCCGCTTTTTCGTGTGCTCACGAGCGCCGTGTCGCCGCGACAACCAATCGACGGAGGGGTAGCGAGTCGTGCAGTGGAAGAGGTTGTATACGTTTAATACATATATATATATAGATATGCATGGGGTGAATTGCCAGTGACAGTGGAGACATAAATCCTACGGGATAAAAACAACGTGGACCCGGCAGGCAGGGATGTGAGTTTATATATATATACGTGCGGCAGTTAAATAACAAGTGTAATATACGAGGTCGCGTATCCGGCAGCGGTGGTAGAGGAGAGGTAACGAGCTCCAGCAGTAGGGGCGGCCGCGCATTCAGCGAAAATTAACAACGAAAGACCACCATTTTACTGCCTTCGGGCGGCGGCTTCATCGTGCAGTACATATTATATATATATATATATATGTGACTATACTTGACAAGACGTACGTATATATATATGTATATAAACATGGCACTGGAAACGAATGTTTTTCGTTTAAATTGTTTTTTTCGCCAAAACTGCTCCTAAGCTGTATTTGCAAAGAGATTCTTGATGTATTTTTTATAATTGAAAATTATTACATTTTCATAATTATATTATACGATATTATGGAATTAGGTGTACGTAGCCGGTAGTATACCCTAATTTATATTGCGTTTACTTTGAGCGAAAAAACTCTGTTGAAATTATGTGATGAATAATAAACTTATTATAATATATATAATATAAAGGGGAATGTGTTTGAAATCGTATCGTCGAGTGGTTTACCTATATACTATGTCCATAATATAATATTTCTTGATCGCTCTGTGCTACAAGGGAATAGTTTTTCGACAGAAGCCTATAATGTGTATAATATAATAGTGTGATATACTCGTATTATATTGCATATAATTTAGTGGCGGATCAAATCGTTTTATAATGCACAACAATAAATGTTTAATAATAATGTATAAATTACTTAAATGCTATTTCTTCACGTTAAATAATAAATAGTCTCGTAACACATACGAAATTAAAGTAAAACTACTTTATAAAAATAACTGTAGGTAGGTATCTACTATAGTGAATAGATGAAATAAAAAATGTAAGCAGTTAAAACTGACAACTAATAACTGGCGATGATAAATTCGTATGGAAAGTCAAAATAATCGTGCGGTTTTTATAATTTTCTAATTATTTCAGTTTTCGCAACGGAGTTTAGCGAGTCATGTCCAATGTTAGTGATGGAAATAGGGGATGTGCCTATTTATATTATGTACATATAGTCCGGCCATATTGTGCTGCACATAAAGACTAATTATAAATATTCGAAGTAGATCGACGATGATCTATCAGCTGGAAACAGACGTAAGGAAAAATCATGTATATTTTTATAAAACGCATAATATTGATTTTTAAATTATTATGAAATATTATACGTAATGCTAAAATCTACCTCCTAAACATTCAACATTTGCGTTTGCTGCGTTTCGGCGATTTTTGGGTAGATCAAAACGTACTCGTATCACAAGGGGCGTACGGAAACGCGTACCATATATTAACCAGTATCCGTTTAAATAACTCGGTTGTTACTCCAGCCGCTGTAACGATATATGTATATGCCTATATATAATACAAACACATATGTACACACGCGTGCGATGTTATAATATATTATAATATAATATAATATAATATAATATTGTATATTGGCAGCATTTCGGGGAGAGAAAACAATGTGTCGGATAGCGAATTTCTGCGTACATGCAACATCCATTGATCCGTCACACGTATATAATATCATGTCGTATGACTTGTGAGGCGTGCGACATGTGCGCGGCAATAAAATCTGTGACAATATTTATATTACGTACACGAGTATTATAGTGCACCGTATATTATTATGATATAGGGGCGGCGGTGACGGTGGATTGCGATTGTGCGTCCGTGTGCACTCAGACGTACAGTGTTCGCCTTGTTCTAAATCGCCGAACGGAGCGAAATTACCTCTGGTCGGTTCTCAAAGTCTGTGTAGTTACACACATAATATCATATATGTACTCGTATTTATACTGCACTGTGCACGTAGTATTAAATGTTGTTTGTTTTGTAAATATTGTATACAAGTATAACAAATTTATATATTATACTCGTGTACTTGGGTATATTATGATTAACATGCACTTTTTATACACGTGTCATTGTGCATCGTGCACGAGATAGAGTTTGAGCGGCAGTCGGATGTGCAATGAAGGATGCGTTTGTTTTTACTGAGTACAATTTGTATTTTTATAGAAATGTAATATCTTATTACAAACTGCGATTAAAATGTATTAAAACAATGTATCCATTCCGGAGTTTTCGAACAACTATGCAGCGCGTGTACAAGTCATCGTATTCGAATGACCTAAATAGCTTTCAACTACAAATTGTGTCTCCAAATATTTATTTTTCGTGTCACTATGCTGATTTTTAAATCAACGTATCAGAAAAATAAATACGTTCCGTACACCTTTAAATTCTATCATTCACCCTATTTCATCCCAATAACCATTATATGTACTAGACGAGTGTAAGTATATATCTTATAGTAGAAATACAATTCTAAATACCAGTGATATATATATATATAGTAATAAAAATACAATTTTCAGTCGAATATTGTAACACTACCTACTTTAAAGATATTTTTTGGTAAAAGATTCCTCATATTTTGATGAACAGGTACGAGTATTATTTTACAAAATACGTATTGTATTACACTTAAATGTTCAAACCAAATGTTAAAATAATATATTCTATAGTTTATACCTGTAATATTATGGAATATCCTTTTCATTGAAGTATTGGACGAAGTATTCGTTTTGTAATGACGACAGAAAACCATAATAGATGTTTAATGTTACATACACGTTATATAATATTTAATTGGTAATAATATCATAATATACCTAGTTTAAGAATTAATTATATATTTTTTTTAAATATAAATTTCATCTATTTATAGCACAATCATTTATTTTAAAGTTTCTTTTTTCGATAATATTCATA